CTCAACTATTTACTAAATATAGAAACTAAGTACAAATATCTTTCAACGAGTAAAGCAGAAAATATATATTCCGAGGGCGAACTGATATGTATACAGATATTCACAAGATAATTATAATAATGTAGCAATGATTCTCAAAACTGTAAATAATCAACCTCACCTAATATGACCTAATATAACCTAACCTAACCTAACCATAATCTATCATATCCAAAGTGAATAAGTTATAATGTGACCAGGAAATAGTTTGTCACCCACAGTATAAGTTTGTGTACATCTCACCGAGGACAAGTTGTAGTATGAATCTGGAGATGATTTAAAAGACACTGCAATATTAGCCGCTTGATTTTACTTTCAACGTTATATATTTAGGTAAGGTAAGAGAGAGAGAGAGAGAGAGAGAGAGAGAGAGAGAGAGAGAGAGAGAGAGAGAGAGAGAGAGAGAGAGAGAGAGACTAATGGCTCTTCGGATATAACATATTTCAAAATGCCATGAATTTTGACTAAAACTTTTACATTTTCACCAAACACTTCCGCAGATAACTAAAATATTCCCTAATAAAAACATCACGAAAAATAAAATGAACAAGATGAGTAAAGCCATAACAAAGTCGTACCATTAAGAGTATGACCATTAAATCCAAGATGTGTCGAAAGTGAAAATATTTGCTCGGGTCACCCCACCGGAGACACGGTATATAGGAGACGTTAAACGGGAACCAACTTGAATTATAAACCCCCTAAAATTTCCTATAAGTGTCATATACATTTCACGTTTTTAGCGGGTCTATTCCTGCGCCAGAACTGCAGCAGAGAAGGACCATCCGTCAAAATGATGTTGGGAAGTAAAGAGCGTGAAGCCGCCTCCTGGTTGGCAGTCGTCTCCGCCAATGAAAAGTTCTTATGCGGTCAGTCAGGCGTACGCGCACTTTTTTTTTTTCCTTCTTAACCATTCCCCAGTCCGCTAAGCCCCGTTAATGAGCCATCTACTTATGCTCAGCTATGCGTACACCTATGACTTGTATGACCCACGTTGAGTTCGTCTCCCGTTAAGAGTCTTACTACACCGCAATGCAGTAATTCCGAATTAGAGGGTAATATTTTTCTCTTTAAAGCTTCGCCCGTCAAACTTTGGCGAAGAATGTGTGGCGGGTGAGGTCGGGCTGGGTGATGGATCGTCCGCGATTGTGTTTGCGCGGGAAAAATAATACCTTTGTTGTTGTTTTGGTCTCTGTGGTTTTATATATTTTTTTTAGAGGAGATAATCGCGGTTTAGGGCAGCACATAAATATACTTACCTATGTTTTAGGCCAAACTGGAGCTAAAAATGTGATTACTGTACAGTATATTACGTGTACATTAAAGTGGATACATCACAAAAACTGAAACTCGAAAACAAATCTCGCACGTTTCAATGTTACTGTATTAAACACCAACTTTCTTCACGCTGTCCCATGCTAATTAGTCTCTCTCTCTCTCTCACTCTCTCTCTCACTCTCTCGCTCTCTCTCACTCTCTTGCTCTCTCTCGCCATTACAAACAGCATCAAGTTTCGAAGAAGAATCCTTGAATACACTTCCAGTAAACCTCGGGCCATGATAATTGAGAGAGAGAGAGACAGAGAGACAGGCAGAGAGACAGACAGGCGAGACAGTTCACGGAGTTACGCGAGCTAAAAGAGAAACGAGTGTATGTGTGTGTGTGTGTGTGTGAGTGTGAGTGTGTGTGTGTGTGTGTGTTTGTGTGTGTGTTCCTTCCCGAGCACTAATTGGCGTCAGAGCAGGTGCGATGCGTCAGGTGGAAATGGGAAAGGTAAATAGGATTATGAAGAGGAGTAGAGAGAGAGAGAGAGAGAGAGATTCATAGCAATAAAAAGGAAAATGAAGAAAGAAAAAGATAAATACCGACACACACACACACACACACACACACACACACACACACACACACACACACACACACACACACACACACACACACACACACACTTGAAAACTAATAACCAAAATTCTTGTCCCTTCCCTCCACCTCCCCACCACCTTCTCTACCCTTCATATTCCCTCTCTCTCTCCATCTTCCCTTCTTTCCTCTTCTTCTTTTCTCCTCCTTCCTGTAATCATATCATCGTTCTGAGTCTATCCTCCTTCCCCCTCCACACACACACACACACACACACACACACACACACACACACACACACACACACCCAACCCAGCTCTCCCCACAACCCCACCTCTCCACCCTACCACCCCCTCCCTCTCCACCCCCTCTCCACCCCACTCCTCTCCCCACCTCCCCACCCACCCCCCACCCCCCTACACACCCGGTGGAAACAGAACCTAACTTAGTAAACCATTTAGCTACAGTATGAGTGGCCCGGATATGAGATAATGGACCTCCCCTTCTCAACTTATTTCTCAACTTTATTAATAACTGAAGCGCCACGTAGCTTCCTCGACCTCTTGTGTTTACCTTAATAATATCAGTACAGGTGTTGTAAGGTAGAAGGGGGGTGGGGGTGATCAACAGCGCCTTCCACCCACCTGTGTTGTAGGCCAGGTACAATATGTTAGGGACGGTTGTTGGTGAGAGAGAGAGAGAGAGAGAGAGAGAGAGAGAGAGAGAGAGAGAGAGAGAGAGAGAGAGAGAGAGAGAGAGAGAGAGCTCCTTACTTTACTACACAATAAATTACAGATAACACCACACAACAGTCACTCTCTTACGATAACTGTTGTAGCGAGCAGGTGATGTTGTATTTACATTATAAAGATTTCCAATGTTAATTTTCTACTTATATCCCTTAATAAACAGTAAGTAACAGGTTGTGCGCACGTTAACAGTAAATAACGGGTACTATGGCTTGGTGCTACAGGACAAAGTATAGTTACAGTATTGGTGAACTAATAGCTTTAGTGTAGGGATCATGTGAAGAGTAAACACCCTAATATATTTTATCTATAGTCCCTAAATCCTACTTGGGGGTGGTTAGGTTAGGTTAGGTTAGGTTGGGTTAGGTGTTTTAATCATCAGGTAAAATAAGCCGTGGTGACTAATTGTCTGGTGAGATTATAATTGTTACAGGTATTTAAGGCTTATGAAGTTCCCAGATGTGTGTGTGTATGTGTGTGTGTGTGTGTGTATGTGTGTGTGTGTGTGTGTGTGTGTGTGTGTGTGTGTGTGTGTGTGTGTTGATATAATAGTACTAATTGTAACAACAATGATCACTACCCCAACAACCACCGCCACCACAACAAAAATCACCATTACCACAACAACCACCACTACAACGACCATTATAACAACCACTACCACAATAATCACCACCACCACCACCATAACAACCACGACCACAACAACCACTACCCTAACAATCACCACCACAACAACTATCATAACAACAACCACCACCACAACAACCACCACTACCACAACAAACAATAACTCTAACGTCAGGCAAAAGAAGCATGTAAGAGAGAGAGAGAGAGAGAGAGAGAGAGAGAGAGAGAGAGAGAGAGAGAGAGAGAGAGAGAGAGAGTACACACACACACACACACACAAGACACTAGCGGGCATCCATAATACTATCGGATATCCATAAGAATGACAACCTACAGGACAATCCACTTATGACAGGGAGAATATCGGGTCATACGAGGGCTACTGAGGGGTAGTGTTGAGGTTACCAGCCTTTAATTTTTCTTAGGGACAGACTTTTTATTGAACTTGTTTTGGTTTTCTTAATGCGATGTTTCTTGATATTTATTGATTTTAGTATATCTTGAAACTCATATCAGTGCCAGTATGAGCATTCACTATCGTCTGGCGTAAAGGAATTGGTGAGTAAGGGTTGTGTTCCAGGATTTTTTTTTCTCGTGTAAGTGAAAAAGATTTTTGTACGAAAGATGTTGAAGAGGTTTCTGGGAACGTGATGTTTTGGATATTACAGCACAGGCGTAGAGACTGTCAGATCGTAGGGCCAGCACGAGCAATCACAAACACCTGACACCGTTCTTGGTGAAAAAGATTGAATTCCAGGAAATTTGTAAAGGGAAAAAGTCCTTCGCTCTATGGAATTTTCAATCTCGCCTTGGGCAATCGAAATCACTTGACCAATCACTACCATAAAGGAATATCATCGACAGTGCGAGCAGCCACAAGCGTCTGGCGTAAGAGTTGGTGGGCATCTGTAGTTCCAGGAAATTTATCGTTTTCTCTTTTTCTAAGAGAGACCATTTTCTTGGCGAGGAGAACTTCTAGCCTTCTTGACGATGATTTCCTTTGAGATGACAGACTTATATACCTTCTGACGCGGTCTATTGAAGTTCCACTCTTATATAACCCATGCCTGAGCCACCATGATCAATCAGAAGCGTCTGGCGTTCACCGCAAGCTACTAAGGACAAGTGGAAGTTTGTCTTCTGCCTGTAGTGGCGTTCCTTTAAAAGACAGATAATTGGCTAGTACCTTAAAAATGGCAGCAAAAGCAGTCAAGAATGTCAAGATCACGTTCCTCTCTATCCAAGAATGATGGGCATAGGGAAGTTCCGCCAGACGTACGTTCGCCTGTATTTTGTTTGCAGTGTTGCTCTTTTTTGCAACAATTAAGAATGTGTATAACCCTTGTGAGTGTGAGTCACTGCTGCAAGACACTTCTAAGATCAGATCACCACACCCCACAAGAGCCTTATCAGTATGGGTCACCGCTCCAAGGAGATATATGTATATGTAACACTGTTATAGTAGCATTCATCTATATGGGTCGCTGTTCTTGTAGTATTCATTTATATGGACCATGTACTAGAAACATTTATTATCATGGATCGCTGTCCTAGGAGCAGTTGTGAGTCTGGATCCATCGATAACTACAGTGCCAACTTCTTCTGTACTAAAAAAATCTTCCGGTAAGTTTTCAGCCTTGTCCAAGTTCACTGTTTCTGCCGGTACTACCCAAGAGCATCCTTGTTTAGCGTAACAGTACTCGTAAAAAAAAAATCCAGGGACTACTGTTCTAGTATATCCTTTTCAAGCGACCTTTTCTTTATAGGAAAAATATTTTCAGCGACCTCTTTAATGAGCTCCTTCCCAGCGACCACTTCTTTAATGAGCTCCTTCCCAGCGACCTCTTCTTTAATGAGCTCCTTCCCAGCGACCACTTCTTTAATGAGCTCCTTCCCAGCGACCTCTTCTTTAATGAGCTCCTTCCCAGCGACCTCTTCTTTAATGAGCTCCTTCCCAGCGACCTCTTCTTTAATGAGCTCCTTCCCCAGCGACTCTTCTTTAATGGGCTCCTTCCAGCGACCTCTTAAGCACAAACAGGCTCCTTCAGCTTTGACCTCTTCTTTAATAGGCTCTCTGCTTCCCAGCGACCTCTTCTTTGTGGCTCCTTCCCAGCGACCCCTCTTCTTTTAATGGAGAGCTCCTTCCCAGCGACCTTTCTTGCTAATGAGCTCCTTCCCAGCGACCTCTTCTTTAATGAGCTCCTTCCCAGCGACCTCTTCCCTTTGAATGAGCTCCTTCCCAGCGACCTCTTCTTTAATGAGCTCCTTCCCAGCGACCTCTTCTTTAATGAGCTCCTTCCCAGCGACCTCTTCTTTAATGAGCTCCTTCCCAGCGACCTCTTCTTTAATGAGCTCCTTCCCAGCGACCTCTTCTTTAATGAGCTCCTTCCAGCGACCTCTTTCTTTAGAGCCCTTCCCCACGACCACTTTAGAGCTCCTTCCCAGCGACCTCTTCTTTAATTCCCTCCTTCCCGGCTTGAGCTGAGCCTTCCCAGAGCGACCTCTTCTTTTAACCTCTTTGAGCTCCTTCCAGCAAAGAGCTCCTCTTCTTTAATGAGCGACCTCTTAACTAGCGATCCTTCTTAATGAGCTCCTTTCAAACGACTCTTCTTTAATGAGCCCTTCCCAGCGACCTCTTCTTTATGAGCGCCTTCCCAGCGACCTCTTCTTTAATGAGCTCCTTCCCAGCGACCTCTTCTTTAATGAGCGCCTTCCCAGCGACCTCTTCTTTAATGAGCTCCTTCCCAGCGACCTCTTCTTTAATGAGCTCCTTCCCAGCGACCTCTTCTCTAGCGACAACAACTCCAGCACATCCTTCTCCAGCGACCAGTGAATCGGCAATTAATTTTCCAGGACCTCTGTTCCAGTAAACCCTGTCTTATCGACAACTCTTCCTGAAATAACTATTTCGAATCTTATTTTCAACGACTACTGTTCCAACAATCAATTCTCCATCAATCCTCTTCTATCTATCTCGTTTATCAATTAATATTCCATCAAATTCCTTTTTATAGAGATTTCGGTTCAAACAACAGTAAGTTGGACCCAGAGGCCTGACAGCTCGTTAATGACGTTATGAATACAACACACTGGATATAAAGCCTTCGGTATACAAGGAGGCACCGTGGCCAGCACTGCATTTGGTCCACTTCACTTCCCCAATTGTAATGTTAGGGTGGACTGGGGGGATACCTCGGGATCGAACCACTGACCCTTATGAAAGGAGGCGAGTGCTGTGTCCACACGGCCGCCGCCGCAACTATTATTCTCCATTAAACCCCTTTTCCAATGACTACTGTTCCATCAAGACCTCTCCCAACTTCCTCTGTTCCAGCAAACCATTTCCCAGCGATCACTCCTTTAGCTATCATTCTTCCCACCAAGTACTGTTCCAACAAACGTCTCCTCTTCCTCCCGAGACCGTTCGTCATGTTGTGAAAAATCTGGAAACCTGAGGAAAATCTGGAAATCTGTCTTGGGGAGGAGCAGGTACAGGAAATGCACTTCTCGACCCTCTGATCTAAAAGGCCTTCCGTTACCCCCACATAAAGATTTAACTCTGCTGTGCCGAATATTTGCTTCTAAAATATTTGGCACACGTAATGTCTTTTGCTTGGACCTCCAAGTACGTTTATTTCTGGGTATGTTCGTGTGTATATGTATGTATGTGTGTGTGTGTGTGTGTGTGTGTGTGTGTGTGTGTGTGTGTGTGTGTGTGTGCACATATCAGCCTGAATCTGTATACGTTTGCTTGGATATGCTTGAGAATGAGTTTGGTTCACAAATAATTCAAGTTTTATCTATTTCGTTTGTTTTGCATGAGAGAGCAAGTTGGTACAAAAAACTGTCCTCTCAAACGCTCGAAGCTAAATGTGTTGACTATGAAATATAAGAAATTGGTTAATGTTTGACCAAAAATTCTTTAATTGCAGTATTTTATTAGCTGAGTGTTGACATTGGTGGTGAACTGCTGTAAGTCATAATCAAGTTGAGTGTGTGTGTGTGTGTGTGTGTGTGTGTGTGTGTGTGTGTGTGTGTGTGTGTGTGTGTGATAGTTAAGATATTATAAATTTATTAGGTGTGTGTTGACATTATTTCAAAACAACAGCCAGTAATACCTAACAGGAGATTATGACACAGGAGGTACAGAGTGTCCATAAATGAGTCCCCTGATTAAAACATGAGAGCATACTGTTTTAAGGTAATCATTTATGGACACCCTGTATAATTTAGACCCGGGTATATTTGCCAATTGGTATACGCTGAGGAGTGTAGGTGTAGGTGTTGGTATACGTGTATCTATGTAGGTATATATGTAGGTATCTATGTAGGTATATATGTAGGTATATATTTTCTGTAGAAGTATATTTGTGTTTATTTGTTGATTCCCTAAAGTGCTTGTAGGTACATTTGGTATCTTGGTATGTATATCACACACACACACACACACGACCAAATAAGTAACAAGATGTTTATGTTTGTATTACTACCCTCGAGTGAGTTGTTTACATCTGATTATAATGATATTAAACGTATCTTCACTACATTTACCTTGCTATCTGTCTGCCTGTCTGTCTGTATGTCTGTCTGTCTGTTTCTTACTGTTTTTTTCTATTTTCTCTCTTTCTGTCAATCTGTCTATCTGGATCTATGGGTCTGTTTAATCCCTCGTAGTCTTTCCAATTATCTGTCTGTCTGTCTGTCTGTCTGTCTTGCTCTCCACTAATTTACTTGCCCATCTGCAGTATATATATGTAATTAGTTGCTATGAGTACTGAATTAATCTCTGGCTAGTTATATTGTCTTACGAGTTAATTTTGCTATTTTATCTTATTAGTTACGTTAATTGCGGTAATTTGGGTCGATGATTATATCAGCTGCACCAAATTCATAAGGTTGTTTTGCTAGCTGTGGTTAATCTGTTAGTTTGTCAGGTTAAATGCGTTAAATCTGTTAATTTATTCCTTTAAATTAACTAAATGTGTTAGTCTGTTGCATCAAATGAACTAAATTAGTCAGTTTGTCATGAGTGTCATCCTCCTGGTCTCAGTTGAGTTAAATGTGTCATTATGGTTCACTTAACTGAGGTAAATATTATAAAAAGCTGGAATAAGTAACTCGGTGCTTCATTACACTAAAGTGGTATATAGACGTATTTTGTACTGGAGTGACATATAGACGTATTTTGTACTAAAGTGAGATGGAGACGTATTTTGAACAAAAGTGAAAGAAAGAAGAAAAGTAACAATTAAGAAAAAAAATACCAATTTGAATATGGTGTCAACTGACGTTAGGTGAATCCTATTCTGAAATTGTGACCTTAACCTTTGACCTCATGATCTTAAAACCATAACACGTTCAGGAGACATCATGAGTCAGTATATATAACAAGTTTGAATGACTGTAGCTCTTTCCGTTCTCATGTTCTGGTGTGGTAATACATGCATATTTACATACTAATTGTGACCTTAACCATTGACCCCGCAACCATAAAACCATAACTATTTTAGAAGACGTCACGGGTCAGTATACATAACAAGTCTGAAGGTTGTAACTCTTTCCGTTCTCGAGTTTATTGCAGACAAATCCTATGTAGTTATGGACATGTCATAAGGCCTAGTCTCAACAGTATGCTCTACCGTACATCCGTGGACAACTAACCGTCGCGCTGCCGGGCACGAGTAGAAAAGATATGGCAGTGTTAAAGTAGAGAGAACGATTCTTAAAGCATGGCAAGTGTCGAGTGTATTCAAAGGTAAAATGTGTATGTGTCTGTCTGTCTGTCCAGTGTTATATCTGTCTGTCTGTCCAGTTTTATATCTGTCTTTCTGTCCAGTGTGCTGTGTCTGTCTCCCTGTCTGTCCAGTGTGTCGTGTCTGTCTGTCTGTCTGTCCAGTAGGTTGAGTTTGCGCGTCGGTCCAGTAATGTGTCTGTCTGTTTCTCTTGTGTCTATCCTGTGTGTTATATCTGTCAGTCCAGTGTGTTGCGTCTGTCTATCCAGTGTCTTTGGTCTGTCTGTCTCGTGTCTGTCGAGTCTGTTTTGTGTCTGTCACTCACATATCTGCTTTCTCTTGACCACAGACCATATACCAATAAGCTATTTAATCATATTATTCACTGAAATGAAAATGTATTCATCCACTAATACTACCACTTAGCAAATATCTTATTCCGGTGCATTTGTTGCTATTTATTCAATACTAATAATGAAGTTCTGGACACACCTTCAGCCGGTCAGAACAATAGTGATTTATTGGTTTAATATCGGTCTGTTTACGTCACGTGTACGATCCACTATTGAAATAAATGTGCATCAATGTATAAAATGGTAAATATTTGTCCGGGATATATAGTTACCGTGTAGTCTAATAACTCATGATGGTGTATGTATTTACTCAAAATATACAACGACAAAAAATATGCCAAGATTTTAAATTGTTAGATATACCAAAAATAAATAAAAAATGGGGGCATTGTTTTTCGATGGCACCAGGCACCTGAGGTCATAACCTGCCGTCCAACCAATGAGTAATCAGCCTTACGTACTCAACAATTAAATTTCCACCAATCATCATTCAGCTTATAGAGAAAAATAAGAAAACAAAAAAATCATTCCGACCGTCGACCAATCATAGCGCGTGTTGGTTCGAGTTGCCAAACGGGGGAATTATGTGGGTAAGATCTATAACTCAACCTGTTTATGTTTTCTTTATTGAGCGCCAGAACTCATAAAGGAACGATACAATCACGAGGAGAACGAGAGGTTATGACGGAGTGAAAATTGTTTGTCACCCCACCCCCCCCAACACATAGAGTCTCACCCCATCCATCCCCCATCACTATCCTAGACTCCATTCATCTCCATTCACCTTATTCAGTTCCTTTCATCCGTACACGTCTTAGTCACCCCATCTCAATTCATTCCAACCATATCTCCCCAACGCTCTCCTCTCCCCTGAGCCCCTAATCACCCCTTTACTCTATCAATCTCCCCTCACCCCCATCTCATCTCATCCCTATCATATTTACCCACACTCTATTTATCTCTTCATACCTAATCTATCTCCCCTCACTCCCATCTCCCCTCACTCCCATCTCCTCCCCCCCATACCACTCACTTCCCATTTCCCGTTTCAGTGACACGTATATAGGCTCAGTGTGCCTTCGAAGCCATTTTGGATGCTTTCTCTTCTCAATGATTCTCACCTGTTTTTTTTCTGACCTTAATTGGAGGTGTGAGAGCGTGTCAACTTCCTCACATACTGTAAGCTACGAGGTAACTAGAGCATCCAATATGGCGTCAGATTAGTAAATAGACTGTATGATAACCGGGTTTGTTCTCTCATTATTTACGTATGTATATTCCAATATGGCGCCATAATTGCACTAAGACTGTAATAAATTAGAGGCGCTTCATGAATTAGGAATAAGGCTCCACGGTAAATTCTCTTCAAAACCTTCTAATAATTACCCAGTGAGTCAGGAAAACCATTCATAGAGCTGGCTAACGCATCTCAGAATTAACGTACTAACCTGACCTAGCCTAACCTAACCTAACCTAACCTAAGCTAGCCTAACCTTTATACAACCATCTAAGAATCTGTAACGTGGTAGGAACGCGTCCCGACGAGTGATTTTACAGCGTGTCCGAATGTGTGAGTTTACGACTTTGGCCACAGTTGACGGCAAGTGAGGCGGTGGAGGATGGAGGGAGGGGGGGGTTGGTGATTAAGGCAGCTGGAATTGGTGAAGATGAGAGAGAGAGAGAGAGAGAGAGAGAGAGAGAGAGAGAGAGTACTTATTATTATACAAGT